TTAATATGCTAATTGCAGCAAATGATTATATAGGCAGATATTAAGGATCCTTAAGGATCTTGTCCTTGAAACTTGGTGACCCAGAGGTATTTATGTTATTATTGTTAGTGAATTAATGAATCATTAGGAAACAACTTAGAAGTCAATGGAGAAAAAGAGGGCTAATTCAGGCTGGATGGATGATGACCACTGGTGGCGTATGAGCCACACGATGAATACATTTCTGGAACTCTAAGGTCCATCACAAGCAGCATCTAGCCTATTCCCTCTCTCCGAAAGACTCCTGTAGACAGATGTCAGGGAAATACAAGAACCTTATTCTTTTTCTTTATGTTTATGCATTTTAAAAATATTATATTATTAAAATAGCAATGAAGAATAAATAGACATATGTATAAATGAATATAGATGAGGGTGAAATATTGTTTATTGTTGAAATGTATAGTAAAGAAAAATAATACTAATATAATTGAAATGGATGGATAATTAATGGACCAAGTATAATAAATCTTTGAGTAAGGATCATGTGGACAGCAATAAATAACGGTTAGTGCTCTGAGTTAGTTGCAAGTTTCACATTTGTTGTATTAAGAGAAAAATTAGTAAATACTCAGATGACCATACAAATGAATGGTGAAAAATATAGATTAATGGAAATAATGTTCATTTTTAAAAATTGTCTTCTCGGCCAGGTGCGGTGGCTCACGCTTGTAATCCCAGCATTTTGGGAGGCCGAAGTGGGCGGATCACGAGGTCAAGAGATTGAGATCATCCTGGCCAACATGGTGAAACCCCGTCTCTACTGAAAATACAAAAAAATTAGCTGGGCTTGGTGGCACACGCCTGTAGTCCCAGCTAATCGGGAAGCTGAGGCAGGAGAATTGCTTGAACTCGGGAGGTGGAGGTTGCAGTGAGCCGAGGTCGCGCCACTGCACTCCAGCCTGGCGCCTGGTGATGGAGTGAGACGCTGTCTCAAAAAAAAAAAAAAAAAATAGCTTTGTCTGCTTTGCACTCTTCAGAATGGATGTAGTGAGCTGATCATTTTGCTGTGATCAAGGCTGTGTTGCCTCTGTGTTAGGCCAACGTGAATAGTGGTTACTGTCTTGGTTTAGGTTGTTTAATAATATTCCTTATATTATTAAAAATTAATATAATAAAAAGTTAACTGGCTCAATGATAATGTGCAACATTGAGGTTAATCAAAGAGATATAGTCTCTGTGGGAAATAATTCTATAGACAAATGTAAGGGTTCTTCAGATATCTTGTTCTTGGGTTTTTCAAAATCATGTATTCATTTTATTATCAATGACGAACTGATTTATTCAATAAATATTTAGAAACAGATGATGAAAGAGAAACCCAGCCACGGATCAGTGGTGACCACTGGTGGCATATAAGTCATGGATGATGAATATGAAAAGACAAGAATGTAAGTGTTTGCTTCTATTAGAAATGATCCTGTAGACAATGTCAGAAACACACGAACATAATTTTCTGATCTTGGGGTCATAGGTTTAGGTTTATTATTACTAACAGGTGAATGATAGAACCATTGAACAAATACAAACGGATAAAAATAAAAGTAGAGATTTAAGCTTCAGTGTCCAGCTATGAATATAGGAGATAACATAAATTATTACTAAAAATGGGAGGTTCTGATTCTTCTTATCAGATAAATGGATCATAGTGTTTCCTCTTTGACTAAGGAGTATATATAATCTAACAAGTAAGAGTCAGTTTTATTTTCTTGGTCAGAGATTGTTTCTTCTATTAAGAGAAAAAGACACCTACAATATGGAAAATTAATAAATACCCAAATCATCGAATAAATGCAATGCAGAAAGGCAGGATCAACAGAGATTAGTTCTCGATGCTTTTTGTTATCTGCTCTGTACTCCTCAGAACGGACAGACCCGAGCTCATTTTGGTGTTCCGGGGTCGTGAGGTCAGCAGTTGCCTCCATGTGTTAGGAACATGGAGACCGATGTAATAGTCAACCTTCTTGCCTCAGTTTCAGTGTTCTTCTTAAGGGTATTGAGAAAGTGCAAAATGTAATCAGTGACTGCCAACCATGACCCAAATGTAAAAAATGTACTTATGATGTATGAAGCCTTGAGGTCAGTTGATGAAAGAATGGTATTGCTACAGGAAATTGTTCTATAGGCATGTGTTAGAAATAGTCAAGAATCTTGTCTTCTAGTTTTTGTGACTCTTGGTATTTCTTTTAGTTTTACTAGATTATTGATGTATTATTCAATGATATAAATGAAGAAAATGAGAGCCAAGCCTGGATTAATGATGTCCACTGGTGGCATGTAAGTCACGTATGATGAATATATGTCTGGGACTCTAAGGTCCAAGAAGGAAAGAATTTAGGTTATTGCCTCTCTTAGAAATAATCCTATAGATTATTTAAGAATATATAAGGATCTTTTTTGGCCTTTCTAAAAATAAGTTTTTACTCTATCATAATAAATGGATCCATAAAAGGATCAGTGTGTGGATGTGAATATGTAAGTGTAGATAGGGTGAAGCCTCATCAGGTTACGGAAATGTGGCATGGTGCCAAGAGAACACACATGTATATACACTGAGAACACTGAATTCCATTAAAAACCAATGGTTCAGGCTGTTACCCCTGGTTAAAAATCATACAGACGACATACATAATAGCCCGTATTCTGGGCTAATGGAAAGTTTGATGTTGTTTGTTTTCCTTAAGTTAAAGTGTCAACGTATATTGCTCCAAATTAGTATATACCTCAGACTACAAGGATCAATGGAGAGAATTTCTGAATTTTGTTTTTTTCTAAACTACTTTGTATTTCTCAGAATGGACGTGCCTTCACTGACCTACGTGTTTGCAAGTTCCATGGCTGCCGCAGTGTTTGGAGCATGGAGACCGATGTGAGTTACAGTCACTGTTCTTACCTTGGTTTTTGTGGCTTGTTTAGGATATTCACTGAATAAGTTTTTAAAAAGTATTAAATATAACTAAAGAAGGCCAACTGTGGCCCAGTATAAATATGGATTTGATGTGAAACATTATGTTGATTGATCCATTTTTGTAACCATGGGAATGATTAATGAAACAGGCATATTCAGTGACATAAGTGATTCCATAGATAGATGTTTGGGATATAAGAACCTCTTTTCTTTAAGAATTTGTGATTCACAGATAATTATTTTATTATGTGTGATGAATTGAGAATTAATCAATAAGCAAAAATGGGGTAATATGAGGAAAAAGACATGTGAACCTGAATCAATAATGATGATTGATGGTTTAGGAGTCATGGGTGATGAATAATATGTGTCTGAAACTGAAAGGTCTGCAGAAAACAAAATCTAATCTATTTCCTAGGTTCATTTGAAAATGACCATCAGTGTTTGAAGTGATAGATTGATGTTAAGAATATGTAAGGGTCTGGTCCTTTTATTTTGGATTCATGGATTTATATATTATTATTTATATATTATTATTTTAAATTGATCCATGATCAAAATATTAAACAAATACATAATTTGACAAATATGAAGATGGAGAGGTGGACTTCAACCATGTCATGATTCAAGATATACTATCAACATAAAATGAAACACTAGCTCCCAACATGGAGAAACCCTGTCTCTATTAAAAATACAAAAAATTAGCTAGATGTGGTGGCGCACACCTGTAATCCCAGCTATTCGGGAGGCTGAGGCAGGAGAATTGCTTGAACCCAGGAGGCAGAGGTTGTGTGAGCCAAGACCGTGCCACTGCACTCCAGCCTGGGCAACGAGAA